TCTGGCCGCCATGGCAAGGGTTGTTGTGCTATTTTGCTGACCACACGTGATCTGAGAGTTTGTATAGATATGGGATGCGATGAGCTTATTAAACTTGAGGTCCTAAATGAAAAGGATGCAGTTGATCTTTTCCTATCTTATGCTGGCAGGAGCATAGATGGTCCTTCCAATGGTTTTAAGGATGTGGCTTTAGGCATTGTGAAGGAGTGTGGAAGTTTACCAGTTGCAATTGTAGCAGTGGCAAGTGCACTAAAGTCTAGGCCTTTATCAGAATGGCAGGATGGTTTGAAAAGATTGCAGACTCATGAGGGAATTCACGATGTTAAAGAAGAGTTAAAACCGGCTTATAACTCTTTGAGATTAAGCTATGATAATCTCAAGAATGAAAAGGCGCAACAACTCTTCCTCCTGTGCTCTCTCTTCCCGGAAGATTATGAAATACCTATGGAACTTTTAACCAGGATTGCTATAGGTGTTGGCCTTTGTGGAGAAGCTAACATATACTCTGTTGCAAGGAGTCATTTTACTCCAATTAAAAATGAGCTCATAGATTCCTGTTTGTTATTAAAGGATGAGAATGAATGTGTCAAAATGCATGACTTGGTTCGGGAGGTAGCTCTATGGATTGGAAACAAACATGTTCAAGCGGGCATGAATTCTAACTCAACTTTAATGGAAAACATCCAATATTCATCTTGGAACATAGTTGACTTTCCGAATCATTTTGATGGCAAAAAACTTGAGGTTCTTTTACTTTGGATAAATGATGCAAATTCTCCTTGGATCAAAGTTCCTGATGCTCCCTTTGAAGGGATGGAGAACCTTAAAATTTTGGCTTTAATGGTTGTCAGATTTAGAAACTTCAGCTACTTCCTTATTTCAATCGCCTTTGTCATTGACAAATGTTCGAACTTTGGCCATAAAGAATTTTAAGTCATTAGGAGATATATCTATTTTGGCAAATCTAAAAAACCTTGAGAGCCTTGAATTGAACAATTGTTCGATTATTGAATTGCCAAAAGAAATTAAAGAACTTCAAAAATTAAGATTGTTGGAGATGGTGAACTGTTCTTTTACTGGAAGAAATAATCCTTTTGAAGTGATTGGAAGTTGTTTTCTCTTAGAGGAGCTGTATTACGATTCAAATCTTGTGGATGATTATGACGGGCAAATTACAACAATTCCTAGATTGGAAAGGTATCACATAATGGATCGGGTTCCGGTTTATTATAGTGATTATAAAGAGGATTCTTCAGTATCTAGATATTTTAATTCAATGAACTTAAAAGTATACTTCTCCAATGAAATATTTAAGCTCCTTGTGGCAAGAGCCGAAGTTTTGGTTTTAGGACGAGATTACTACAACAGAGGATGGACAAATATTGTTCCTGACATACTATCTGTGGAAGATGACAGCATGAGAGATCAATTAACTAGGCTCTCTTTGGATTCAACGAATGAGATAAAGTGCCTAATCCATACTGAGAATCTCCGACCTGGTGTGGCTATCTTCTCCAAGTTGGTTGAACTGATGCTTTCTTCTGTGGATGTGAGAGAACTATGCCATGGGCCTTATCCTGTTGACTTTTTGAAGCAACTAAAGGAGCTGCATTTATCTAGATGTAAAAATTGGAAGGCACGTTATTTGATGGCAAGTTAGAGCTGTGTAATCTTAAATCCATATATTTAGATGAATGTTCAATGACATGCCTTTTTCATGCATCCACGGCACAGAGTCTAAAGCAGTTGGAAAAACTGGATATTACAAAATGTTCGAAGTTGAAATACATAGTAGCAGAGACTATGGATGATCAGGATCCTAATCAAAAGAGTCATGACTCAATGTTGCCAAAATTGAAATATCTCACGATCTACTACTGTGCTGAATTAGAATTTATATTGCCAATATGTTTTTGTGAAGACCTTCCACTACTAGAAAGTATGAAGATTGAAGATTGTGAGAAACTAAAATACGTATTTGGGCAATATCCAAAGCATAGAGATTTGCACCAAATGGGGAAAGAAGCCATCCTCCAGTTGCTAGAAGAATTGAGAATTTATGAGGTACCGAATTTCATCAACATATATGCAGAATGTTATCTCCCACAGCCTTGTTCTGATGAAGTTCAAAAGTCATCTCCAAGTGCAAAAGTAGACAGCAGTAGCAGTCTATCAAGGGGTCATCTATGTTGTTTTTGGGCAAAATCAAAAGCCTCAACTATACGTCACACTTCTGCTCCCATAGACACTCAATCAAACCATAATCAGGTAATATCTGTTACTCTATTTTGTTTTAAATCTTTATTTGTAATAATTTATGAATCACCCAAATATGCTTTGCTAAACTTCTTCTTGTATATATGATGAGAATATCAATTTGTCTTAAAGTAACAAAATTAATTTTGCATTTCTCTTTTTTTCCATCTAATTGAGACACTAGGCACGGTTGGCAAAAACCAAAAAATTCGCTCAAATATATGCTGCAAATTACTTGCACGTTTTTTTTGGCACATTATATTTACACTGCTTTGGGTCTTCCTCTGTACGCTACCCACCCGAAAATTTGTCCATTTATAAATTACTGATTGTAGAAGAACTTAATTTTGTTGGGAAAATTGGGGGAAGGACCCAAAAAAGTAATATTTACTAAAAAAGATCTGATTATAAGAAGCAAATACTAAAATATAAATTTAAAATATAATAAATTATCCCTAAGTCCCTAACAATCCTTAATTTAAACTAAAATTTTTAATAATCCTTTTCTCATCAATATTTGAAACGAAATTTATTAAAATCAGTCAAAATCATTTATATTAATCTATCTAAAATATCTTATATATCTAAACACACAATGAAGTAAAATCATTCATCTGCATGAATTGTGCTATCAATAGTTAATTTTTAAGCTGCAATTGAAAGCCCTCTTTTTTCCCCCAAATATCTCTTTCTTGACTTATTTTTTATAAATCGTTTTACCATATTTTTTTTTATATATTTAAATTTAAATGGATATATTTTAATTAATTTCAATAAATAGAATTAGAACTTTTATAAATATTTTTACCAATTTCAATTTTTGAAAATAGAAAATAATTAATTAAATAACATTATTAATATTTATTTTTACCTAAAATTTTCCATTCCCTTAATTTTAAAAGGGAGAATCCCAAAGAATTACCTTTGAATTTTAAAATTCTAAATCGGTCATGCTTGCTACACTTTAATAGCAATTGATAACATTGGAGAAGTAAATGACAACATATTTTTGTAGTCATTTTTTATTTGAGATTTTGAAATTTTAGAGATATTTCTTAGAATTTTTTCATCTTTAAATTTTTTTTATTACCATTTACTTTAATACAAACATATCAAGATCGAGAAAAAACAAAACAAAAAGATTATAAAATTGATAACAAATAAGAAATAGTGTGCAGATAAAAATTATAGCTATGAAAAACTTTATGAGTAATGTTTGATCAATTTGATTTCTACATTATTTTTATGCCACCATATATCTCCCTCAAAAATCATATGAAACCAACTTACGGGGCTCATTTTTTCTTCTGATTCGTTGATTTATGTTGAAAGTGATACAATTTTACTTTTAATCCAATATTGTTAAAATATGAAATTTGTTGTTATGTATTATAGGAGTTGATCCCTAAAACACGGAGGGAGCGTATGTGAGATGTGGTTAGAGAAAATCTAAGAATTTAGTTCGGAATAGTTTATTATTTTTGAAATTACAGTTTTATATTTGATCCTTATAAATGATTACAAATTTTAATATCTCTTCAATAAATATTATTTTTTGTAGGTTGTTCTCTTTAATTTTCCCCAATTTGTTTATATATAGTAGATCTTTCTTGTAATATTAGAAAAGTTTGAACCTTAAACCTATACCATAACTTGCACCATTCGTTTTCAATTTATGAAAGGCGAAGAATCCTCACATGTTTGTATGGAATACAGGCATTAAAGGTGAAATATGTTGTCAACAGAGCTCATGGTCTTTTCACGCCACCATTATACCCATGTAGAAGTTTGAGATGGATACGGATATTTGGATTTTCTGAGTTAAAGTCACTCTTTACGCCATCCATTGCCTCATCATTGAAATTGCTGGAACGTTGGCAGTTGGAATTGCGATGCACTAGAGCACATAGTAACAGATGAGGAGCATGGTCATGATCGTGGGAATGTTAACTCTATTTTCCCAAACTTACGGGAGGTTGGAGTCTGTGACTGTAGCCACTTGGAATACATTTTCCCTGCTTTTTATTCAAAAGACTTGAAGCATTTAGAATCTGTGGAGATCACCAGGGCTGGAATGTTGACACATGTCTTTGGGAAATGCCGTGCTGATGAGAATCTTAATGTTCAGGTTGATATTAATCTCCCAGCTTTGAAAAGCCTAGACCTTTGTGATTTACCAAATATGGTTGGCATTTGTGCTAAAAACTATTATGTGAAGGAACTATATCTAGAAGATATTGGGTTGAATGAATGCCCACAACTTCCTTTGAAAACTTTGATGGACTTATTGGTTGATGGGCATAAAAGACAAGAAGATCTGTCAAGAAGAAAGGTAAACCTCTTTCCGACTTCTTTTTCTAGTTAATTTATGATTGATCAACTAAGAAAATCATTAATACTAATATATCTTGATGATACCCACAGGCATTACCTCTTGAGAAGAAAGGTAAACCACTTTCCAACACGCAAGAATTGCCCAAGTTGGAGGATATTGGTGTGGAACCTATTATTTACATGAGCTTTCAAAATCTTTCCAAGCTAACAATCCAGGGATGCAAGCATTTGAAATTTATCTTCTGCGCATCTACCTTAAGATGGCTGCAAAAACTGAAAAGGTTATGGGTATCAGAGTGCGAAGAGCTAGTGAGCATTATGGAGGATGAAGAGAATCACAAAAATCCTATGACTCTCATCAAGTATGTTTCCCAGAGCTACGCGGAGTAACAGTGACGCATTGCATAAGTTTAAAATGCTTGTTCCCTATGTCATGTGGTAAGCTTCCACGACTCTTGTATGTGAGTATAGTAGATGCCCCTCAGCTTGGGCAAGTATTTGGATGGAAGCAGGCAGAGGGACAGAAGCTGGTCTTGGAGAATGTGCTTCCCAAACTAATTGCAATAAGACTAGTAAAACTGCCAAATCTTCATACTATCTGTCAAGGGATTGATTTTCATACTGTTAAAATCCGTCGTGTGCGTCAATGTCCTGCTATTTCTTTACCTTCAGCTTATGATGGTAGCATCCAAGAAAGTAAGCATTTACAGAGCTAATTCATTACACCTACTAATTGCTACAATTTGTTCTCATAATAATGTAGTTGTTTTATTTTGGCAGTGGATGAATTACTATCTCAAACACTGTCTAATGAAGACTACTATGACTACGAGGAGGATATTTGTGACTGGGCTTATGAGGTTAGTGTCAAACTTAATAAAATGGCTTAATCAGCTTAAAGATATTGGGGGGGGGGGGGGACAGGGAGATGAGAAATGATAATATTTACACCAGGATTAACTAAAAATAAAATTGACCAATGCATGAATAAAAATTTCCCCCGTTACCAGTATTTTGGCAGAAATTCCATACTCCACCAATTTTTCCTATTTAGTGGGTTAAGATTGCAATCTTTATTAATGACTTCAACTCACTATTTTCTTTATACTCTGTTCTAAGGAATTAGAGCCAACTCTAGAGAGAGACCCAACAATAGTCAGTAACAGAATAAGCGTGTGTGCTACCAAGCCAATACATCCCCTCTTACATATTATTCTTCCTTTATTCCAAATTTTAGCTTGATTTAATTCGTAAAGTTTAATGATCAGAGTTCAACTCATTTCATCTTTTCTTATATGTTTTGTGATTGTTCAGGATGAACGGGAATCCGAGCGGGCAGAGGCATCCGAGGTTATTGAAGGAGACTCCATAGTTTCACCAAAATCACCAGAGGTACATGGATTATGCTTTTGTTGCGAAATTATAGAGAAACGGTTAATAACAACAACTACAAATTTTGGTAGAAATTGACCAATACATGAATAAAAATTTCGCTCGCTACTGATTTTGGCGGAAATTCCATACAACATCCACCGCTTTTTCCTATTTTGTGGGTTAAGATTACAATTTTGTTAATGAATAATTAATTTGCATGTCCTTATAATTTCAAACAATTTTTAATCAGGTCATTATATCTCTGCTTGATTTTATTTAGGTTCTTGTAGTTTTTTCTCTCTTTATCGGGTGCTTATAATTTCACATAATTTTATCAGATCTTTGTATATTTTTAATTTGATTTATTAATTTATCTTAAATTAATTAAATAAATAATATTAAAAATATAATTTATTAATAATAAATTTAAATTAATTTTTATTTAATTATGAAAATAATTAAATAATTATTAATTTTTAAATGATTCGAATTATAAATTATAAATGGGTTTCAATTATATTACGATTTTAGAAAATTTTATTATTATAATTCAAATTTTATGGTTATAATAATAAATAAAAATATTATTATAAAATGAACATGGATATATGTTTAATTCAAAAGTTTCAAAGAACAATAAAATAAAATTGTTACCTAAGAATATTATTAGGACTTATAGAATAAAGAATAAAAATTTTCAGGGGCATGATTGAATATCAAATGAAACTATAAGAACTTGATGAAAAGATTAAAAAAAAAAAACTACAAGACCCTAAATAAAACAAGTGAAAGTATAAGGACTTGATAACAAGAAAAAAAATTATATGAGCCTAATTAAAAATTAGTTAAAATTATAAGGATCTGTATATTAACTATTCTTTTTATTAATAATGACTTCAATTCACTATTTTGTTTGATATTATTATTATGTGGAATTAGAGGAAGCTCTGGAGAGAGACCTCATAATAGTCAATACCATAACAAAAAAAGAGTGTGTTACCAAGCCAACACATTCTTACATATTTTCTTATTCCTTTGTTTCAAATTTTAGTTTGATTTGTAAAGTTTATTTTGTAAAGTAAACTTCTTAACAACTCATTTCTCAACAAAATAATTTCATTTCTATTTTCATTTAACGACTCTTAGTTATGTAGCAATGCAGAAGTGGAAGGAGTTTAATAGTAATGATTTTGTTTTTAATTTATACAAGAGTTTGCAGGAGCCTACGATGCATCTTTAGGAATCAAAGTTTAAAAAAAAAATAGTTAAATTGATTAATTGTAACAACTATGTGTTAGCTTAATCAGCTTAAAGAGATCGGAAGAAAAAAAAAAAAACAGGGAGATGAGAAGTGATAATTTTTACACCAAGCTTAAGTAAAAATAAAATTGACCAATACATGAATAAAAGTTTCCCTCGCTACTAATATTTTAGCAGAAGCCCCCAATTTTTCCTGTTTAGTGGGCTAAGACTACAATCTTTATTAATGACCTCAACTCACTATTTTCTTTATACCCTGTTCTGAGGAATCAGAGCTAACTCTGGTGAGAGACTTAACAAATTTTAGCATGATTTGTACATTTTTTATTGTTTTGATTGAACGGGCATGCTTATTGAAGAAGATTACATAATATAGTACACAAGCATAATCCATCTATTGAGTTAATAGAGAAAAAGGTATAAAAACAATAATTGCACAGAACATGAAATACACGTGTCAAGCAATTATATCAATAGCTAATGAAAATATAAGGGTCTTCTGGTATGTTCTGACGATTTAGGCTTGAGATGTTTAGGTTTGACATTGCTGGGCTTAGCAGATTTATTCTTAACCATTTTGGACCAAATGTTTGTGTTATTCTCAACAACTTCACGATAATCAAACAATGTCATAAACTTCTTAACAACTCATTTCTCAACAAATACTTTCACTTGCATTTTCATTAACAATTCTCAATTATGCAGCAATGCAGAAGTGGAAAGGGTTTAATAGTAATGATATTGTTTTTAGTTTATATAGGAGTTTGCAAGAGCCTCTCATATACCTTGTAGGAATCAAAGTTGATGTTGATTGTAAACTAATATATCTTCTATTATTTTTCAGATCAAAGAAGAGGAATCATTAGAAGAAGACATGAAAAAAGACTCAACAATGCCCCAACAGAATAATGGTTCACCAAATTTTGAAAAAGTATGCATATCATACTTTTCCTATAACTAACTACACTTACGAAATCAACAATTGATTTCTCTCTTACCTCACTGTTTTATTCATTTGTTTGAAATAAATCAAGTGTTTTTTTTTAATAAATATTGTGTGCTAATTCGATTTATTATGGTGATTAACACCATAAAAACTCAGCTTATCTTCTTTTTATATCTTTTTGTTGATGTTTAGAGTGAGGAAGTATCAAAGGAAATTGGCATAAGAGACTCCACAACACATAAAACAAAAAGTAATTTTCCAAATTTGACAGAGGTATGTACATTGGTAGTCTCTAACAAGGACTCGAACCAACAAAGAGTTCTCTTTAAATTAATATACCATATGCTTCTTAATTATTTTAACATTTTTAGTAACCCATTCATATTTTACGAGTTACATAGGATACCATTGCATCAACAAGTGGAATTGTCGAAGAAAAACTCTCAACAACTCCGTCATCTAGTTCAGACATGGTAAGGATTGTTCTTCAATTTATGCTTCCACTGGTTTGTACATATACATACATACATACATATATATATATTTCCCCGAACACATGGTCATGTGGAAGTGGAAATGCCTTATAATAATAATGATTTTGTTTTATGGATAAGAGTTGGTGGGAGCCTCTAATGCATAACTTGGTTATCAAAGTGGACCCTAACAGTAAGCTTAAAACAGATTTAAGATACCAACAGATTGTAAGTTTAGAGAGTACTAAAGCAGTAGCAAATGAACTCGTTAGGTCGGTTCCTATTTCTTATATATGCCCGCAATGACTCTCCATCATTTAGTTCAAATAATTTAAGAGTGAATCCCAGAACAAAGACCTTCACTTGTATGTTTACTGAACTAATCATTTCAAAAAAATAGTATAGGCGTTTAATTTGTAGGAGCCTTTAATGCACCACTTGGCTATATATTACTCCCTGATCCAATCCTGTACATAAGTAACTTTTAATTATCTCACCAACCAAGAAGAAGTAGGTACATTATTGATATTGTTTGAAAAGGAAAAAAAAATCCCAATTACTCTCATTAAATGCGTCATCTTGAAAAACAATTAGCTCTCTCATATGCACCCTCTTACCCCTAGAAAATTGCAAAAGGCTAAAATTAAAAGACAATAATGGTAACCTAGAGTCTTTTTTATTATAAATCAAATCAAATCATGAATTCAGAATTAAGCAACACATCCCCACCAACATTTGCCATTGTTTAAGAAAATTAGCTCACATGTAAGAATATTATGCTTCCTTATATGGGTTGAATCAACAAGCACTATCAAAATCAGGATATGATATGCGTTCTAATGATTCACAAAATGCTAACATTTGACAGAAGATTATACTATTTACAATGCTTTAGTGTCGTAGAAATAATCCTTAAACTTACGTATCATTTGGTGTTGGGCAGAATCTCAAAGCAACTTTTGGAGAAGGTCCTTCATTTGAGAAGTATGACAAAGAAAGTTCATCAGCTTATTCAAAGCCGAAAACTGAAGAACCTTACACATTAGCTCCTTCTGAAGTAAGCTCGCTACATTCATTTTAGCTTTATATAAATGTCTTGTTGTTTATTCATTCCTTAATTTGCTTAGGAGTTATGTGGAAAGGAACCAATGGGTGATCAACAAGCACCTGGAGAAAATAAAACCTCTAATGAACCTCCTCAAAGAGTTGAAGAACCTATCAAAGAATTTTCCTCCAAAGAAACATCAAATGAAATGGTATTGATGATACCACCATCTATTTCTTCTGGAAAGACCTCTCCACTAGTAAATATTTGGTTTCTAATACATTTGCATTATTAATAAATTATTGGCTTCCATTCAAATTCATCTTTCCATTTCTACGCTTTTAGGTCTCTTCAATCCCATCTCCCAAAAAGCCTCAAATAGCAACTTCAGCATCTCACGTGGAAATGGAGTCAGGGATCTCTGCTATTACCGATCACACTGCCCAAGTAAGCCTTCATTTTATTGCATTGGTTTAGGGATGAAATTTTATTCTTTGAAACTGGCATAAACTTAATGCTAGAATAGACCAATTTGATAATCAACTGGTGCTTTGTTTTTATGAAGCAACAGGAGCGTATTTTGATTCCACTATATATCACCTTCTTTTCAATCTAATACCTAAATAAACTAACTGGTATGAACAATTCTTTTCAATCTGCACCTGATTAAGAAGGTCAACAATTGATAACTCTGTTTCCTTTGCTTAGACATAAATATGCGGAAGGAAACGCATTTTAATTCATTATATCCTGTTGGTTACAATAATGGTTGCTTCATTTGATTCACTTTAACAGGATAAAACCACGGAGAAACCAGAGACCTCCGCTGGAAAACAAATTAAGTTTGACCAAGGAAACCAGAAGCAATTTGCAGAAGATGATCTGATGAGATTGTTCCGAATAATGGACGAAGGTGCTGAAATGGAAGTTCACATACCTGATGTATCCAAAATTGCAGCTCTTCGAGATGATAACGAGTTGAAGAAGGCTCTCACTGACTTGGAAGCCTCATTGAAGATGAGTCTGAGTGAAATAACTTGCTCCGAAGAGAGCAAACTTCGCCTTGAGAATGCTCTCAACATCTTATCCTCCCACTGTTCTGAAGAAGGAGCTCCCTCTCATGGCCTTCAAGCTACAATTCACTCTCTGCAACAAGAAATCCAGACTGTTCTATCTTCCTCCAAGCAAGCCTATGCCTCTATTGACACATTCAACGAGCTTGAACGAAAAGAGAAGCTTATAACTGAAGAAGCTTCAAAGAGAAAGGAAGCAGCCACAACTCTTCTGTCTAAAATTCACAATAAAGAGAGTTCTTTGGCCGAGGCTCAGCAAAAAGAAGCAGAGTTGAAGGAGAAAATCTCTAAGATTCAGGCTGAAGTGTATAGGAAGGAAAAAGAAATCCAAGAGTGTGAGATTGAACTGTTATCTCTCAAAGAACAGAAGAAGAAGAGTGTTTTTGAGACAATGGGGCTGATAAACCAGTTCGACGCAGTGAAGAGAGAAAGGTATCACATGGAGGAAGAAAACATAAAAGCAAAGCAACAACTACAAAATATGGATGTTAAGTGGTCTTCTTGTCTATCCAATCTGAGAAAAGTCACACTGCTGCTAGGAGTTCATCTTCAACATAAGCTTTCATAGTTGGAGACTGATATTTTAATTTCCTAAACAATTCTACTGTGTGGTCGTGTTTATTAGTTGGTTTGTTAGCTATGTATGTTGTGGGTTTTGTGTTTTGAGTTCTTATGATTAAAACAAAAAAACAAAAAAATGAAGAGGAAATTATTAAAAAAAAAAAAGTAGGACGTGCGGGTAATGATTGTTGAAGACTCGTTATTGTACATATGGCTTTGATTGTAGTGAAATTTTTCTGGACTGGGTCCCGTGGTTTTTATCTCTCACATTGAGGGGGTTTTCCACGTTAAAAAATTGTGTGTTCTGTAGTTTTTTTTTTTACGTGATACATTTTTTTAACATTTAGATTATTTTATAGAAATTATTTTAACTTAGCTTTCAAAAATAAAAATTGTGTCTACTATATTATATTACCTCCCATCTTTAATAATTAATATAAGATTGAGTTGACTAATTTAAAGAAATTAAAGAAGTTAATAAATTTTTTTAAACTATTTAGATTTATTACTTTTTTAAAACTAATTTTCCTTATTTATAAAATGATCTATAGTCTAATCATTTTTTTTTTATATTTAGAGAGATCATATAATAGATGTTATGATTAAGTCATGTGGTAATTTTTTTAATCTCCTTAATTTAGTAAACTAGGTCTTCTATTAGTAACTGGAGGTAGTATTATATTTGTGCACATTTTTTCCCCGAATACATTTTTAAGATACCTACACAATGGCTAATGTGGTACTTCATTGTTCACTCAGACAAAAATGTTTCAATATATTGACTTACAAAAAAGTTTAATTACAAGCTTACAATAGCCTCAAGAAGCGAAATTGCTAAGCAAAAGTTATGGATTCTAGATTAAATTTTTCATCCACGAAGTTCAGATTTATTTCTCTAACGATTATTTCTCTCACAGTCGATGAGTTCATAGAGGGATTCAAATGACAAAGCGAGTTATAGATTTTAGATTAAATTTTTGGAATTTTACGAAATGATTTTTTTCAGTATTAATCTTTAATTTTTTCCTTTCATTCAAAAAAAACTCTCATATCATATTTTTATTTATTTTATTTATTTGTACTACTAAAGATAGTAAATGTAAGTATTGGAAAGGTAAATATTGGACTGTTTATTATTAAAGAAAACCACACTGCCCCTTCAAAAGTTTCTGCGTGATGAATTCTTATGTTAATTCTTCATTATCCTTTGAACATTTGATTATTTTACTCGATTTTTGAGTAAAATAGTATGTTTCCAGAAATACAATATAGAAACAGAAGCTCTATTTTTTTTTTCCCCATTGCTCTGTTTTATCATTCTCTGTTTCATGGTAAGCTCTATTTCCAGAAATGTTTCAAGGAAACGAATATTTCTCCTCCTACTTTTTACTTCTTCTTTTTTTATTTTTTTTACTTATATGGTATTTATCTAACGTTCTCTAATTGCACGGACTTAATTATAACTTGGTAAATTGTGCAAAGTTAAATAAATAAATAAATAAATAATTAGGTAATAATCATGGGACCTATTTTGAAATCCATGATAAAATTGTAAGAATAAAAACTCAGCTTCGTTCATACCAAAATGGAGGATGAAATACTGAAAGCAAAGTTAAATGCACAAAGTTATTCTGTAAATTAAAGAAAGTAAAATAGTGTGGTAGAAGGATGATATATATACCTTTCTTCAACTTCTGAAAAGTCCATAGCTAGATTCCATCACACACACGCACACATTGCAAAGTTGAAGAGTCATAGTTTTATCTTTCTGCCACAATTCAAATTTCAGAGACAAGCGAAGTACCAAACTCATCATTTCCCATCACTAAAGCTCCTGCTTTTGTAAACCAGTCTTTGTGTTTCATATTGGTCTTTGAATCCTTCTTGTGTTTCCAATCTTTCCTTTCATTTGTCTGTCTATTAATTAATAGCGTTGTTCTGTTGTTCTTCTAATTCAAAATAAAATAAAATGGAAAAGAAAAGACAAAGGAAAAATTCTTCTTCTTCCTCTTCTTCAAACCAGTTTGTGTGTTTACTATTTTCTTCTTGTGTTTCTTCTTGTGTCTTTTTCCACATATTCTTCCTCTGATTTTTCATTTCTCTTTCTATTAAAAGAGTTTTTAATTTGTTTTTTTTCCTTCTTTTGCAAAGAACAAATTTTAACCTCTATTAAATTATTGTTTTTCTACCCTCAAAACTACTGATTATTGTTATCATTATTCTTCTCCTTCTTGTTCAGAGAAAACAAAAAATACAAATAAAAAAAATTGTGTTCAAAACTTCCAGTATTACTTTGTATGTTTTTTGTCTTTATATTTAAATTTCTCATTTGATTTTTTTCTCTCTACCATCGTTGTTCTCACAGTTCCTTTTCTTACCCCAAAAAAAAAAAAAACAGGAAAGGCAAAACAAAAAAAGCTTTTATATGGAAGGCATTGCAGATTAAACGCATAGAATTCTCTGAGAGGTAAGAATTTGTGCCCCATGATGCTTATGAACTAAGTTTGCATCTTCTTTTTGTACACTCGCACATGTACGTATGCATGTATGTAATAAATATACTCCTCCGGTCCTTAATGTAAGACCCATTTAACTAATTTGATTAGATTAAGAAAGTTAGGTAAATTAGTTAATTATAAGAAAAGTGACACATTTTTCCTAAAACACCATGATCATCTTTCTTAATACCCCCTCTCCCTCTTCTACTTGATTATAGTTGAGGGAGTATTCATAGGGGTAATTTAGAGAAAATTAATAAATATGAGAAATGGGTCTTATATTTAGGACCAAAGCCAACTCAAAAATTGGGTCCTATATTAAGGACCGGAGGAGTATATATATATTTATATCTATGTGTGTATGTATGCGTCTATATATATTGTCTCTTTAACGTTCTACAACTCCTTTTTATTTCTTAGATCTTGGTTGGCTGGTTACACGGAGCACAGTTGAAAATTTCATTCATGTTTCCAGGTTAGTATATGCATAATTTTCATATTAAGAATCATTTGAAACATATTCTTGTTATTGATTTTTCCGTCATAAACAACACAACCGTTTTAAGCTGAGTCTCGCTGTGCTTACATGTTTTATTGTGAGGATTACAAATATATATATATATATATGTATAAGCATTAATTAGTAACATACTTATCTGGTCCTATTTATAGGACAAAGAGAGAGAAAAAATTTTGTTCTATTTATAGGACACTGAGAGAATTTTTTTTTTTGAATGGATGTACAATTTCACCTTTTATTTATTATTATGTTTACTTTATTTACATGAGGTATAATGTATATTAACTATGAATGAAGTTGAAAAGTTGTTGGAGTTTAAATGAGAGTTAATGAAGTTTAACGTTTTTTTTTGTTTGTGTGAAACATGTTAGAAATTATTTATAAATAGGACCAGAGAATTATTGTATTTGGGCTTTGACCTTCTAGATATTTTTATATTAAATCTCCTAAATCTTGGTTGGCTGCATAAAGCTTACTTGAAGATTTAAAATTTGGGTTGTCATTCTGGCCCCCAAAAGAAACCCTGAAAGAAAAGAAAAGAAAAGGAATAAAGAGAAGAAAATCATGAGATACCTATAGAACTTTTAGTCAAAATTACTCCTTCGGTCCTAAATGTAAGATCCTTATACTAGTGTATATAAGGGTCTTATATTTAAGACCAGAGGAGTACTATATGTCCCGGCCTTTGCGGAAAAGCTAGTAGACATTCTGCTGCGAGAAGTCATTTCACTCTAATTAAAAATGAGCTCATAGATTTTTGTTTATTTTTAAACGCTGAGAATGAATGCATCAAAATATATGACTTGGTTTGGGAAGTGGCTTTGTTGATTGGGGAGATAACTTTTCAACAGGGCATAGGTTATAACTTAATAACCTTAAGGGAGTACATCAGATGTAAACCTTAGAACATAACTAACTTTTCACATTATTTTTGTGATAAAAAACTTGAGGTTCTTTAAGTTTGGATAAATAATGCAACCTCAGAAACCAATAGATACTATCTTTGAAGGGATCAAGAGCCTGAAAAATTCGGCTATAGTATGCTCATTAGATATTCTAATTTCAGCAGCATTCTTATTTCAATTTCCACTGTCACTAATAAATGCTTGAACTTTAGCTTTTAAAGGACTTGAGTAAAGAGATATATCTTCGACCTGACGTGGCTATCTTCTCCAAGTTGGTTGAACTGGAGCTCTTTTCCATGGATGGTAGGGAACTATGCCATGGTTCTTATCCTGGTGATTTTTTTAAGCAACAAAAGGAGCTGCAGTTATCCAAATATGAAAAACTGGAAAGCACGTTATTTGATGGCAAGATGGAGCTTTATAATCTTAAGCGCATAGATTTATGTGGATGTTCAATGACAAGCCTTTTTCATCCCTCCACAGCACAAAGTCTAAAGCAATTAGAAGCATTGCAAATTAGAAGCTGTTTTGAGTTGAAATACATCGTAGCAGAGACCATGGATGATCATGATCCTAATCAAAAGAATCATGACTCAATGTTCCCCAAATTGAAAGATCTCTTACTCACAGTTTGTCCTGAATTAGAATTTGTAATGCCAATACGTTTTTGTAAAGACCTTCCGCTATTGGAACGTATGCATATTTATTATTGTCGGAAGCTAAAATACATATTTGGGCAACAATATCCGAAGGAGACAGATTTAAATTTGGACCAAAAGGGAAAAGGAAACATCCTTCAATTGCTAGAAGAAGTGTGCATTTGGGGAGCACCAAATTTCATCAACATATATGCAGAATATGAAGTACAAAAGTCTTCTCCAATTACAAAAGTGGAAGTTGGCACTAGCAGCTTATCAAAGAATCTTTTGCATTGTTTTTGGCCAAAATCAAATGCCTCACCAAACATCACCCTTCTGCTTCCATGACCACCAACTGAATCATAAACAGGTAATATATGATGCAAATTTCTTGCAAGTTATTTTTTTCAATTCATGAAAGAAGAACTCACATATTTGCATGGAAT